TCGAATATAGAAAATGGAAATAAGGGAAAATATTTACATATTTCCTCTTAAGCCGGCGCCAGACTTGGCTTCAAATACGCAGACACCTACATAGTCGCGAAGTGTGGTACGAGCATTTGCGTATGTATGCAAACTTTGTACACAAGTTTGAACTTTGCTAGTGGCAATTTTAAAATTGATTTTAAAATAGAATAGTAAAAATTAGAAACTTTTTATTCCATATAAATTATAAATAATACTTATTGAAAGTTGCTCTTACGTTTAATTTATTATTGATTAAGTACATTGATGTTGTTATCGATTTTTTGGAGCTTCTTTAAGCAGACCCGATAATATAAAATCCGAAAAACGGGGATTTTAAAAATCGAAGCTATGTTAACGATAAGTTGCCCTAGAGTAAAAAAATTCATGTGTGCAGTTCACACGCGTGAACACAACAGTTAAACATCAAATGAAATGAAATAAAAAAACAAAAATATTTCACAGCAAATGATTTCTTTAATTTGGTGATTATCAACCACAATTGCGGCATAAAATATAACATAAAAGTTTAATTTTATAGCAAATAAATGTAACAGTTCTCATTTTTAGACAAAATCTTAGTGTATTAAACATTGAGTTCTATGTACTACGTACTAGAGAAGCCATTCCAAACAAAAATTGTGTCCTACTCTATGTCTTCGCGCATGCGCGGGAGTAGAAGTCGCGCATGCGCGAAGACTTTAATTTAATATAAAATATCTTAATTTAATCTAAACAAACATATTTCTAAATAAAATCTAATAATAATTATTTTATGGAATTCACAAATCTTCAATTTACGCAATATTATGTTTGTATGGATTGCACTACAGTTCAGTTGAACATAGTCAATGTTCGGAATGGCTTCTCTAGTACATAGTACATATAACTCAATGGTATTAAATCAAATTAATATTTTCTTTCGACTAAAATTACTTTGTAATAGTGACGTCTACTGAAGTCAATCAATTTTTACGTAAAGAATCCATTGTAAAGGTAAAATCATTTTATCGAACAAGGAAACAAAAATTGATTGACTCTCAAGGTGGTCGGTAAAATAGGCTTATTTAAAATAAATTGGTAAGATATGAAATGGTGGATTGTAAAGAATGGTTTGAATTGATACGCGACTTTACCCTTTTCGTCCGTGGATGTCGTAACATGCAACTAAGGTAAATGCCAGAAAAATCTTATGGTTTCCGAAAGATGTCGGTTTACGACAGACTAACTCCTGCTGGCGATGGGTAGCAGCGTCGAATGCGCGATACGTCTGGTACTACAATCGTCGATCTGCCTTTCCAAGGTTGATAATTAAAACAGATTCTTCCTCACGGGAGAGGACCATTACCAGCAGTAGACTTTATTACAATAATTATTATTTTAAAAAAAACGTTACCTACACTAGGATTTTCTCATGTATCGTGGAAAATTATATTGACAAAACGTCCTGATTCGGGACAATCGTTTGTAGGCCGTAACTCAGTGCTAAACTACTGCGCCACGGATCTGTCAATTTTTACGGAATGTAAAGAAGAAAAAGAAATAAAACGTTTAAAACATATTCGTCTATTCTGTCAGCTATCTTTGTGATAGATTTGAGTGTAAATATTTGAAAAGAAGTCTGGCAAATTTGCCTCGTGCTCGGCGGTGAAGGAAACCTGCATGTCTATGAAATATAAAAAAAATGTTTTGAAGACATGTGGAGTCCGCCAACACCCATTGGGGCAGTGTGACGGTCCACTATCTTGCCCTAACACCCTTTCAGAAATATGAGATGGCCTGTCCGTATGATTTAGACGTATAATATAGTAAAAACCTTAAGTCTGGCTAGTGAATTTGCGTTCATATTAGTGCAGTGCATACACAAATTTATTAAAAAAAAATTAAAATGTCTCCGAATTGTGCTCACGTATCCGGCGCTGGGGTTACTTAGCAACTGTATGTCTATGAGTTCATAAATCACTATATAATATACTTTTTCTTTGAGAATAGCCTTGTGAGTTTTTGAAAATAGCCTAGCAGACATCACTATTAAACCTTTTAGTTTACTCTGATAGTTTAAGAACTTCTTATTAGGATTAAAATGGACAGGCCACGCCAATCACAATATATCCACACTCCAAAAAGACTAAGTTATGTTTAAGCATTTATGTTGATTTTACTAAGGATTTGAAGCCCTATTTCGCCAGTCAATAGTCAGATACTCTGACCCTATGACCACCAAAAGACGAAAGAATTTAGTAGTCAGCAAATTTCACTGGACTTTTCGAATTACGAAAATTTCAAATTTGCAAGCAGTAATTTTATGACAATGTAATTCATTTATAAAATAAGTTAAAATGTTTCAAGAGTAGGTCAAACTCAATTCGGGAGGTTGGCGAATTCTCAAAGGATTATAAACATAAAGTTACATGGATATTTGACATTTTAAACCCTTTTACACTATCCAAGAATATTAATGTGACATTTACTGAATGACATTTGTTAGTAACGTTTAAGTTTATGGAATAAATTTGCTCAAGAACAGATTGAAATAGAAAGCAGAATAACCTTCTAAAGGAAATGTGTCTGCGAGTATTCGTCGCAGATGTTAACACGAGGAGTTTTTTTCTCGCGCGAGCAAAAGTCCTATTTCATTAAGATATTATACTCATACACAAAGCCGAAATTGCGATGGCTCGGATGGTAATCCGAGAAGCAAACTTCGAACATCTTCTCCATATTCTCTAAATCTAACTCTAAGTGACTTAAACCTTTTTCCTTGGCTTAAGAAAGAGTCCGAGCCAAGAAATTTGAAGATAAGAGCGAAGTGAAGACCGCTTGGAGGCATTTCGTAAGGAACTAATTAAATATTTTTTGTAAGAATAATCGAGTCTATGAAGCGGCGGCGGGAATCCATCATCCATTAAAATTTTTAAGATTTTGTCCTAGGATCATCAGTCCGCCTGCCAAGGATAACGGGCTACGTGCCGTCATTTATTAGCTGAATAAGAGAAGGAAATTTAAATTGAAAAAAAAACGTGTGAATTTCTTTAGCTTCGTTGTGATTTGAAACAAATGAAACGAAAATAAACACTAAAAAGAGACAGATAGATGGAATCTATACTAATACAGTAAAGCGAAAGAGGTTTTTGTTTGTTTAAATACGCTAATCTCTGGAACTACCAATTTGAATACCAGCGTAAAATAGCAGTTTAATGCTGCTGTGTTTCGTATGGTGAGTGTAGAGAACCGGAGACCCATTTTACTGGAAAAGAGGCATTCTATCTTAGTCCTCACGGCTGAAAACGCATCTGCATTTTAATTCGCAAACGAAGATAGATGTAGATGTCTATGGACCACAGTAACCACTTACCATTAGGTGGACTGTGCGCTCGTTTCTCACCCTTATTCTATAAACAAAAGATGTATGAAATTTACCGACCAGGGACTATGTAGAGAATAAATATAATACCTATATATTTTTAAACCAAAACCATTATGATAATTTGAGATGTTCTTGTTTAAAATCAGTTTGTTAAATATTGTGGAAAACCAAAAGTGATTAAATTCGAAACAACAATCTTAATCTGACCTATCAAAGCGACAAATTAAAAATGCTATCGTAATTGCTCAATTGCGTCGTATTGTATCGTGAATATACTATGAAAAAAGAGATGTTGCATTCTTTTGCGTTTTCTATCGAATTTACCACGGGGAGTGCTCTGAGGAATTGTTCGGATTAATTCCAGCCGCTAAATTTCACCAATACACATCGCGACCAAACTTTAGTTATCATCCATATCATCTGGATGCTTGCGCGCCACTACTGTGCGATTCACGAGGAGTTTTTACCTCGCACGACTTCTCTATGGAATTGTTTACCACCGGCAAATTTTCCGGACCGAAGTATGAAACGGATATAGTAAAAGATGCAATATATGAATCCTGCAAAGCTACAATTTAGCGGACTAGTTATTAACCAGAAGATATCGTTTGCGACGTTCAAAAACAAAAGGTCGAAGTCACAAGTAAGCGAAATCGAAGAATCTCAACATAACTCTTTAGTGTCATACTATTATACCGCACCTCAGACTACTAAACAACAACGATTTCGAGTTAAAATCTTATTGCCCTACATATAGAGTCGTAAATCATTTATATTAAATTCAACCGCCAAAGGGAATGGAAGCTGAAGCAAAGCCAAGTGATACTACCAGTTAATGCACCAATGTTTATTTTGGCAACCATTCAAATCTTGTACCTATATAAATTTACAAGTTGTTACCTTTTGTTCTCTGTATTCTTTTGTAAATCGTACGATACTTTATTCGAAGGATTTATTTTATTTGTCTTAGTTTTGAATTTCAGAGAACTTTGTTTCGGTCTGAGTTAAGAATATAAGCGGTAGATTTCAAGCCTTAACACTTAAGAACTTTAATAGACAATTTCGGGACACGTATTTGACAACTTACTCAGTGTACTTTTATTTCGATTTACTTATACATTTTCTTCTTCATTTTTTCTAAAGCAAGCATACTACGTACTCTAAACGTAGGACACCTTGCAGTTAAAGAAGGAAACAGTTTCAATATTGTAATTATAAAAGTCCATTGCAGAACCCCCATAAACTGGGGGATTTTGCCATAGTTGCTACGCTTGGGAAGCGGATTGGCAACTGCATATTTTTATAATTTTGAGTGCTATCAAGAAGATGCTGCTGCACATTTCGCGTTTTAGTTTCCCCCTATCGCCTCTTACGATACCTACAGGACAAATAATCTTAATTATTCCACCAGGTGGAATCGTAGATATGCGCTGGCTGAGTAGTAAAAAAAGAAAAAAAGATTGTAATGGATAATTATATTACAGTAACAAAACAATTGTTACTGTAGTATAATTATACTTCAAAAGTTTTTTTTTAATTATTTTAAAATTCTTAACCTACAGGAATATTTCCTGCCAGTATCAAAATTTTTACATCTATAGTAATTTTTCAGTTCAACATCGCCTGCCAGGATTGGAAACGATCGCTCGTGGGAACCGTCCACAACGCCGGCTTCTTCATATCCATACCGCTCACCGGGCTTATATCCGACAAGTTTGGTCGCCGACTCGCGCTTATATTCGCATGCGTCACCAGCGGCATCTTCGGCATGATCAGAGCTTTCTCCTTAAACTACAATATGTTCATTGTCCTAGAGTTTTTGGAACCTGCTTTCGGAGGTGGCATTTATACAGCCTGTTTTGTATTAGGTAAGTCTTGCCTTTTTTCTGTGTTATGATATGTTATGTAAGCTGATTAGACTATATTTTACACGTATTTATTATTACGCAATATAAAAATATATCTTCAATGAAATTCCTAAATCTATAGGTACCTCACAGGTAAAATGCTTTATACTCATAAGTCTGGCTAAAAATAACTAAAAAAACTGAGTTTCATTTCCAAATCCTATTTTAAAATTAAAATATAACATGAGTTGACTATGGAATATGCCAGAGTCTGCCAAAAGATGGCGCTATAACCGTCTTGCTTACGCCAGAAAAAGACCTTCGACGGTGAGCAGCGTCAAAGTTTCCGACGAGAAAAGGTCTGAATTTGCGATCGCCAATCCACCTGCCAAGCGTCGCAATTAAGACAAATACTCCATACGACGGAAGAAATATAATTGAGATTTTTGAGACCTAGGCGGAAGAACGCCTTCTCTGCCTTGGTGTTCTTCTAGAAAGAAGAAAGGTGGTACCCTAGTACGTATTTCTGCTGCGAAAAAACAGAACGGACTAGAGCGGTATAGAGAGCCAGTATATATTTATCTTTATCCTCTATCTTTCTATCCAAATACTATCTGGGCGTCTTCAAGGCAAGAGTGAATAGGCTTTTGTTACGCTAAGACAGTAGGATTGTGGTCAAGCACTGGCTTATAATAAGTTAAAAAAAAACTGCAGCATTCCATATTAATGCGAAGAGGTCACAACTCATCTGTAATGGTTGAAGGTGTTTATTGGCCCCAGTTGACACTTACCATTAGATCGATTGTAAGTACATACGAAAACTTTAGATTTATAATAAAAATAGACGTAGATGTCTATGGGTCACAGCATCCATTTACTATGTGTGCACGTTGGTCACCCTGATAGTATAAAAAAGACTTTTAGTACGCAACTAAACGCAGAAACCATTAATTCGTCATCAGTATTTGGTACAGCTGAGATTAACTCTCCACACAGCTAAAGACATGAACCGCTAAGCTAGCAGTATGAGACGAATATTTTATTAAGGAGCGTGAATATTTTTAAACCACGAGTAACTGAACATCATTGTCATCCGCGCCTTTCATCATCATCATCATTATCATCTGCCCATATGATTCCCATTGCCGAATATGAGCCTCTCCTATTATACGGACAAGTTACGTTAGTCGCCACGCTTAGCAGATGGATTAACGACGGCAGCACCAGACGTTAAGTCTAGTTTAAACAAGATGGTTATAGCGACATCTATCGATAAAAGAGAAAGATTTTTTTGCTATTCCCATATTCGTCTCTTACGAGTAGATAATTCATAAAGAATACGTGATTGATAGCAACCCCTGGGAATGGTGTGATTGCTACCATACTGTTTCTAAACGTAGAGATTTTTTAGATAACATAGTCGCCTCTTACGAGTAGATAATTTATAAAGAATACATGATTGATAGCAACCCCTGGGAATGGTGTGATCACTACCATGCTGTTCCTAAACGTAGAGATTTTTTAAATAACATAGTCGGCTCTTACGGGTAGACAGTTCATAAACAATACGTGATTGATAGCTACCCCTGGGAATGGTGTGATTGCTACCATGCTGTTTCTAAACGTAGAGATTTTTTAGATAACATAGTCGTCTCTTACGGGTAGACAGTTCATAAAGAATACGTGATTGATAGCAACCCCTGGGAATGGTGTGATCACTACCATGCTGTTTCTAAACGTAGAGATTTTATAGATAACATAGTCGCCTCTTACGGGTAGATAGTTCATAAAGGATACATGATTGATAGTAAGCCCTGGGAATGGTGTGACCGCTACCATGCTGTTTCTAAACGTAGAGATTTTTTAAATAACATAGTTGCCTCTCACGGGTAGATAGTTCATAAAGGATACATGATTGCTCGGCGGTGTAGGAAAACATCGTGAGAAAAAAATATTTCGGAGACATGTGATTGTGAATTTCGCCAACACGCATTGTGGCAGCGAGGCGGACAATGCCTTGCCCTAAAACTTCTCAGAAATGAAGGGAGGCCTGCGCCCAGCTGTGGTACGGGGGCTATATATAGGCTGTAATTTTTAACTTTAACTTTACATGTTTGACAATCAGCCCTGGGAATTAGGTGATTGGTACGATTCTGTCTCCAAATGTTATCACATTTAATTGTACAGCATACTATATTGTAAATAAATGTTTAAATAAAAGTCCCACGGGGTTTTTGCTAGCTTTTTGCAGGATAGGTTTTTTCAGACCCAGTGGTAAAAGCATAAATGACTTTTAATTAGAATTCTGATTATCTATATTAGATAAAAAATATTTTACTCTATTTTTTTTTTCTAATTTTTTCACGTTATATAAAGGCATCATGCTCAAAATGAGTTAATATATCATTTACTATAAGGACACAAGTATCTTAGACGTAAAATGCGTAAAGCTGTTTCGGAATAACAAAGACCTCAACGCAAACTATACCTTCCCACGGAAAGCCTTTAAATAATGGCATAGTCACATTATACCAAGCGCGCAAAGTTGTTCCTTAGTAACATAAAATATGAGCTCGCAGTGCCTTGGTATATTTATTGAGACAAGTTTATGAGATAGTTTAATCTCACATACTCAATAGAAACAATATTCATCACCTAGCTACTGAGCGAATAATTTATGCAGCATACATAAAGATGTTTTTATTATTTTATATTATTTATTTAAAGAACTAATAAATTTTAATTTATAACTACTCTGAAATTTAAATTCTGTAAATTATATTTTAATTGACTTTTTAAACAATGTTAAGCAGTTTTCGCAAGTGTTATGTTTTGAATAATAATAACTACAAGAATACAAAAGAGATCCCTTAGTCATCAATTGTGTTTGGTACTTCTAAGCAACAACCTATGTATACAATGTGTTTCAAAAAAATTCTTCTGATAAAAATACAGGTACTATCACATCTTTTACTACAAAATTTTTAGAGCTTAGCGTAGCTTAACTCTTAATACCAGAATTTAAAAAGAATCCTCTAATACCTCATCACATTACACACACAAGAAACAGAAACAGAAACTTTTTATTCAATATAGTTTATAAATAATATTTATTGACCTCGCCCTTTTGTTAGTTACGTCTGGTTCGAAAAAAAACCTCTAAGATATTTTTTATAAGAATAAGCCTTTCCAAGAACACGCCAGAAAATATTAATTACTTAGAAGTGGCCGATACATAAAATTTGTGTTCAGTATTTCTTGATTGATTTACAACTACTTGAAAAAACATGGTATTATTCCTACTATACTTCGTACATCACTATACAGCTATACCTTAGATTAATTACACACATAATAGTAAACATCACAACGTCAAACGCCAGCCAATAAGTTTATTAGATTTTTAATGAAGGTCGATGTTCGCGGAAGATATGTATGTGAATGATTATTATTGAGGTTAAGGGCTGCATGAACAACGACCTAAAACGCTTCCTGATGAAATGATAGATAGATCAGCTAGAATACATTTTGCTTTTTTTTTTCTTGATACTAACATATGAGGATGGTGACATACTATGATGGGTGAATTTTAATGCTGGATGAATTAAATAATTATCCGAAATCGTTATAGCGTATATTTCTTTTATAGGATAGGGTGACAAACAAGCACACAGTCCACCTGATGGTAAGTGGTTGCTGTGGCCCATAGACATTTACATTTATCCTCGTTTGCGAATCAAAATGCAGATGCGTTGTCACCCGTGAGGACTAAGACAGAATGCCTCTTTTCCAGTAAAAAGGATCTCCGGTTCTCTACACTATGTATATTACATCGTAAAACGTTGTACAATGCTTTAGTTATATAATGATTAGTATAAATAAAACCCCCTTTCAATTTTTGTAGATTGTTAAATGTAAAACACTTTCTATGTTGAAATAAAAAAACATTAGTCGATACGCTTCAAAGGTCACGTGCAAAAACTGTGCTATCAGCGAAGTTTTTACTGTTACAGTCAGAAAAAAATACATTCGCTTCACTAAATATAGAAATAGTTGTTATAAATAGTCCTTGGGCAAAAAAAATTACTTTTTCCTGTTTTTTTTTTTTTTTGCTCATTTAATGAATAAATTCGTTAAGTGCATGTGATTGTTACTGCGGAACAAGAGTAACCGACATAATTAAACTAATTAATCAGATGAATTGGAAATTAACAAGCCATATTTCTTTTATAAATTAAGTGGATGCTGTAGTCCATAGACACCCTTGTCTTGACTAGGTGTTAGTACTTCGTTTCTGCTGACGCATATATTTGGTGAAACCACCCTTATTTATCTGGCTATAGCTGTGCCTGCACTGCTGTGTTTCGGTTTTTAGGATGTAGAGAGCTAGTATAACTATAGGCTGTGGGGTATAACTTAGTCTTCAGGGATGGCAACGCATGTGCAGCCTTCTTTATTTGAAATTGTTTGTAGGTGTCTACGGGCTGCAGTAGCCACTAATAGTGCATGTGTTGTGTAAGTTCGTTTATCATTTCAATTTTATAAAAAGCTGACATTGGTAAATAATCAAAATTCATAATATGTGTTGTAACAACTAAGATAAAATACCTCATTACTAGTAAACGCCCTCTAAATTTAGTGACGTCATTATAAAACATTCAGAAAGTAGATGGCGCAGGTGGTTTGAAACAGTACATAGTGTTTGTCTATGGAGGAGATTTACTTTTAGCAATAGACTCGTGATGAGCTCATATGATGATGATGATAATGGTGAACAATAAGATGTGAGTAGTTGAGCTTTGTCTGGTAATCTGTCTTTGTATGTATCTTCCACATACCATATAGCAGAAAACTGCTGCTGTGTTTCGTATGATGAGTGTATAGAATCGGAGACCCTTTTTACATGTAATGAGGCATTTTCTCTTAGTCTTCAGCGGTGACAACGCATCTGCATTTTGTTTTTCAATCAAGCATAGATGTTAATGTGGTAAAATCAACTTACCATCGGGTCGTTTGTCGCCTTATTCTATAAATATGAAACTTATTTTTGCTGCTAAGTGGCAGTCTACCCACAGCTGTGTTTACTGTTATTTGAATTATGCGACATATGAATTAGCAGGGGTAATATCGCATCTACTATAAACAGACAAGCGTAACTAAGCAATATAATTAGCCACACATATTTCAGCCGCAGTATTTCAATCAGAGTTTATAGATGCGTTGTTTTTTTTTTTTTAACTGTAAACTTCTTTAAACCAATTGGGCGATTTTTGGATTGGTAAAAAAAACTTATAAGTTTGCGTCACCGGCATGCTAATATTAGCCGTATATAATATGTAGCTGTTTTTTCATAGTTTTATGTTTTCACTTCTGCCGGCAGTCCCCTAAAACTGCCAATTTTTTCACACTTATGAGTTAAAAGTGTTTCTGGGTTAAAAGTGTAATTAAGTCCAATTTTTTCTCCAAATTTATATGGAACCCTGAGGTATAACCTATTTAATAAAAAATAATTGTCAAAATTGGTTCACAACTGATGAATATGTATCTCGTAAAATACATACAAAATAAACATACAGTAAATTGTTAACTTCTTCCCTTTTAAGGGTTCCGCACCCAAAGGGTAACCAACGGGACCCTATAAGTAAGCCTCCGCTGTTCGTCCGTCCAGTTGAACAAACAGTTGAAATTTTCACATAATGTGTATTTCTGTTGCCGCTATAACAACAAATAATAAAAATTAATGGGGTTTCCCTACATAAAACAAATATTACGATGGTACGGAACGCTATATGCACGAGTCCGATTCGTACTCGGCCGATTATTTTAAAACTGGCTAAAAATAATAATAAACATAACCCCACAAACACAATATATCAACCAAATTCACAATAATTTTTGAACATACAAACTCAGTAGGTACTTGGTTACATTATTCAGATCCAAGTAGGTATACAATAAGCGATATTCGAACATCACCCAATAACCTTCACCTTTAACGCCTCATCAATTACTTGTGACTAATTATAGTTTTTATTTATTGTGTCTCGCGCTTCCGGTTTTACTAGTTTTAGGTGTTCCTGCCTTTGTATCGGTGGGTTATTCATATCATTCATATCAATACTAATTTAGTCCGATCTACTCAAAACGAGTTTTCAGTATCATGAAGTCTTGCGGTTGTATGCTTGGGGTATTTATTATAGTATTCGAAGCAGATAGTAGTAACGATAAAATTCTTAAAATTAGTTTTATTTAATGTATTAGTTACGCCATTCATGTTTAATTTTATTCGCGTAATTGTAATAAATTGTTACTATAAATCAACCATATTTGTGTAAGTACGAGTATATAATATAAGATAAATTTTACAATAATTTAAATAATGTATTCCAGCTTTCGAACTAGTGGAACCAAAAGATAAAATCCTCAAAATTACTTTTATTTAACTAGCTGATCCCCGCGACTTCGCCCGCGTGGAGTTATTTTTCGCGGAACCCTAAAATAAAAGCAGCCCAAGTTACTCCTTATAACATCAGGTATCAGGTATCTGCCAGTGTGTATAAATATTGACATTAATATTTATACGATACTAACGTCACTCAATTTTTTTACCTGCCCGGAACCCCTCCACTAACACTTAAACTTTATGATATGGTATTAAAGTTCAAATTGTCTTTTAAGTATTATTACGAATCTTTTGTATAGGAATATAGAAAAGTATTGTTTTTAGACTATTTCAGGCAATTTTTTAAATTTTTCTCTCCGTAAGAACCATCTTCGTACTTCAAGGAATATTATAAAAAATAATTAGCGAAATCGGTTCAGGTGATCTCGAGATTTGCGCTTAGCATCACATTCAGCGATTCATTTTTATATTAGATGTACCTATTAGTCACGTCATTCATGCTTTGTTTGTATTCGCGTAAATGTAAGAAATCATTACTATGAATGTGTTATGTCTATGTACCTATATAGTATAAGATAAAGTTCACAATAAATTAACTAAAAATACTGTATTCCAGCTCTCGAACTAGTGGGACCAAAAGGCCGAGTCTTCATTAGCCTGCTGTTCAACACAATGTTTATCCTTGGCGGAGTCACCGTCACTTTACTGTTTTGGTGGCTACAAAACTGGAGATATGTCCTTCTTATCATTTACACACCCGCTATCTTCGTGTTTGTCTATATGTGGATGCTCACGGAGAGCTTCAGATGGTTTTTCAGCAAGGGGCGATATGAAGAAGGTCTGAACGTGCTGAGCAAATCGGAAAAGTTGAATAATGTCACAGTGCCCAAAGACCACTACGACCAAGTAGAAAAGCATGCAATGAGACAAAGGGACGCAAAGAAATTCGAGAATCGACAAACGAATCAGTCTTCTTTAAAACAAATTTTGGCATCAGCAATGATATGGAAAAGAATCTTCATTTGCTCTTTTCTCTGGACGTCTTCCACATTAGTATACTATGGCCTTTCTATTAACGCTATTGAATTATCTGGGAACAAATATTTGAACTACATTGTTGTTCTCCTTATAGAGGCACCTGCCAACGTATGCAAATTAATTTTCTTGGACAGGTTTGGAAGAAAAAGAGTCATTGCTGTCGCTTTTATTTTAACTGGACTGATTTTAATCAATTATGGATTCATTCCAGGTATTGTTCTTTATATTTATTTTTTAAGAAATTACAATAACAATAATAATACATCATTTATTTCCAACAAAGAACTGTAGAACATGATAAAGTTATTAAAAAGAATATACTGATAGGTATTTATTTCTATATAAACAATGTTTTACTAAGTAATAAATTAACCACTTATTAAATGAAGGCCCACTCGAACATTTGTGTGCGTTTTTATTTGTACGTAGCTTTGTGAATACAACTTCAGGCAATGCATTTAATGTTGAATTTACATTAATGTATATTTATTTCAACTAGAATTACGTCTAAACAATTGGCGACAGTTTTTAGAGAACTTTTCCATGGGATTGTGTGTCTAGTTTTTTTTTATTAGTGATCGATGTAAGGCATATAAAAAAATGCACACTCTACAAAATATTTTTAATTACTATTATTATACTAGTAAGTAACCAAAAGAAATATTGTGAAACTATTGTTAGTATTTATTCAAATCACAAAAATTAATCTGGAGGTTCACCAAGTAACAACAATTGCAAGTGTAAATTACTATTGATGGCTGCTATATATTATATATTGTAAATAATACACACCAAAAGATCACATTTAATTAGACTGCAGAAAATAATACTATGACCTCCTGGTTAGCTATGACCACGGCAAAATCGCAGAATATATTTATATTAGAGCTGAATTCGCAAGAGAGCAAATCGAGTTTGAAACCCACCGGCGCCAATGAAATGGGTAACAGCAGTAATTTATCACGTAAATACGTGCAGATTACTATCGAAATGTAGCAGCTTAATGCTGCTGTTTCGTATGGTAGTATAGATAATCGGAAACAGTTACTAGTCACGAGGCATTCCATTTTCATCATCAGAGATGACAACGCATCTGCATTTTGATTCTTAATCGAAGACAAATGTAGGTTATCTATAGGCCATTACATCTACTCACAATCTTTTGGTCTTTATTAATTTGGTCTTTATTACTAATTATTAATTTCATAGTTTCCAGTGAGGATTAAACTCGATTTGCTCGCTTTATGTAAGTATTTCGAAATTTAAAGTCGGGCGCTTTTCCATTAATTAATCACTTGCTATAGAATCATGCCGTGTAGTGGCGGTCAAGAATATCCACTACCCCATATCTTCCCGTGGGTGTCGTAAAAGGCGACAAAGGGAAGCAGGCAGGAGATGGGCAGCAGCATCTTCCTGATAATAGCCAAAATTACAATAAAAAAAATGCGGTTGCCAACCCGCTCGCCAAGCGTGGCAACTATGGCAAATACCCCCCTATGAAGAGAGTAACAAGGAGACGGCCCCCAGTCCCCGGCGGTCCCGCTATTCCTGGCTACGGTGGTGACCATGGTAACGGCGGGGCAGGGGGTGCTAAGAATCTCCGGTGGAGGTTCGGTTGCCACCTTAGACGACTCGACCTGGCAACGTACAACGCACGCACCCTGAGGACTGACGAGAAGATCGTGGAACTGGAAGAAGAGATAGATAAGTTATGCTAGCATATTATAGGATTATCGGAAGTCCGAAGAGAGGGGAAGGACACGATAATCCTCGAATCCGGCAACTTGCTCTATCACCGGGAGGGCGTCCATCTATCCCAAGGAGGTATCGGATTTATCGACCACAAGTCTCTTGTTAACAACGTTGTAAAGATCGGGAGTGTGTCGACGAGGGTTGCGTACCTTATACTCAGAATCACCAAACGGTATTCGCTATACCGGTAACGGTATTCGTCATACAGGTTTACGTACCAACCTCGGCGCACCTCGATGAGGAGGTGGAGGAAATGTATGAGGATATATCTAGAGCCATGCATTCCTCCAAAACCCAATATACGGTATTAATGGGAGACTTCAATGCAAAACTAGGCACAAGAGAGAACGGTGAGCTGAAAGTAGGGAAATTTGGAATAGGGCAACGGAACCCAAGTGGCCAGCAGCTGGCCGACTTCATGGAGAAAGAGGGACTCTTTATGATGAACTCTTTCTTCCAGAAGCGGCCCCACAGGAAGTGGACCTGGTCGAGCCCCGACGGTTCGACAAAAAATTAGATTGACTTCATTATGACGACCAGACGACTACTGTTCAGTGATGTCTCCGTGATCGCGAGGGTGAAAACTGGTAGTCATCACCGAATGGTTAGAGGCACACTGAACCTAAACGTTAAGTTGGACAGGTCTCGTCTAATGAAGTCAACGCTCCGTCCCCCTCGTGCCCTGTTCCAAAGTCATGAAACCTTTCACCTGGAGTTACAAAACCGTTTTCAGTGCCTAGAAGACTGCAATGAAGTGGACGATATGAATGACAAGCTCGTGGAAACTGTCCATGCGGTCGGAGCTAAGTTCTGCAAGACCCACCGCAGAAGAACACAAAAACTCTCCGATCACACTCTTAATCTCATGGCTGTTAGACGGGAGATGAAGCTACTTTCTTTGACAGCATACAGGCAACTGAACAGACAGATCTCCAAATGCATGCGACGGGACTTACGCAACTTCAATACAACTTCTATTGAAGAAGCGATCGAGCGGAACCAAGCCTCCAAAGTCTTTGCCAGAGATCTGTCTGCCAGAAAGAGCCAACTGTCAAAGCTGAAGACGGAGTGTGGCAGCATCGTTTTCGGGGCACCTGAGATTTTGAGTGAAATTGAGAGATTCTATGGACAGCTGTGCACGTCATCGTTGGAGCCACACGCAAGTGTGAGTAACGATCCAAGAGCGAGTCTTATCTGACACTATTCCGAAGATATCCCGGACGTCAGTCTGAGCGAGATTAGAATGGCTATCCAGCACTTTAAAAACGGCAAGGCCCCAGGCGAGGATGGAATTACAGCAGAGCTTCTGAAAGCGAGTGGAAAACCGGTACTGGAAGTCCTTCAGAGGCTCTTTAATTCCGTCCTCCATGGTGGCATTACACCGGAGGCATGGAGCAGATGTGCGGTGGTCTTGTTCTTCAAGAAAGGTGACAATGCTCTCTTGAAGAACTACAGACCGATTTCCCTTTTGGGTGCGCCTACGTGCTGTTTTTAAGAGTCATTACGAATCGTCTCGCATGCAGACTTGACGACTTTCAGGCTCCCGAACAAGCCGGTTTCCAAAAGGGCTTTAGCACCATAGACCACATACATACCCTTCGGCAAGTTGTACAGAAGTCCGAGAAGTACAGGTTTGCCACTATGCCTGGCGTATGTGGACTATGAGAAAGCCTTTGATTCCGTCGAAATTTGGGCGGTGCTGCAGTCCCTTCAGCGGTGCCAAGTTGACTGTCGGATATCGAAGTGCTGAAGTGCTTGTACAGTAGGGCTACGATGGCTATCCGAGTACAGAACCAGAGTATGAAACCTATCCAATTGCAGAGAGGTGTAAGACAGGGTGACGTTATATCCCCGAAACTCTTCAGCCCTGCATTGGAAGACGTTTTCAAGCTTCTGGACTGGAAAGGATACGGTATTAACATCAATGGCGAGTACATCACTCACCTTCGATTTGTCGACGATATAGTCCTTATGGCAGAATCGCTGGAGGACCTAAGCACTATGCTCAATGACCTCAAAAGTGTCTTCCAACGGATAGGTCTTAAGATGAACATGTACAAAACAAAGATTATGTTTAATGTCCATGTCACACCTATGCCGGTAGTTGTTGGGAGCACTAAGCTGGAATTTGTTGACGAGTATGTTTACCTGGGACAAATAGTCCAACTTCGACCGAGAGGTCAATCGACGAATTCAACTCGGCTGGGTAACGTTCGAGAAGCTACGACACATCTTCTCGTCAGACATACCTCAAAACCTTAAAACGAAATTGTACAACCAGTGCGTGTTGCCAGTGATGATTTATGGATCTGAGACGTGTTCCTTCACTGCTGGCCGTATGAGGAAGTTCAAGGTCGCTCAGCGAGCTATGTAGAGGGCTATGCTCGGAGTTTCTCTGCGTGATAAACTTAGGAATGAGGATATCCGCAGTAGAACCAGAGTAACCGACATAGCCCAACGGATTAGTAAGCTGAAGTGACAATGGGCCGGCCATATAGCTCGAAGAACCGACAACCGATGGGCAAGAAAGGTTCTTGAGTGGCAGCCTCGTACTGGTAGGAGAAGTGTAGGGCGACCCCCCCACGAGATGGAGTGACAACCAGGTAAGACATGCAGGAAGTCGATGGATGCAGATGGCTCAGGACCGTGCTTTGTGGCATTCCTTGGAGGCCTATGTTCAGCAGTGGACTTATGAAAGGCTGTAATGATGATAGAATCAAATGATTTTGATGAACTTCTTTTGTTTTAAAATAATCGATATTTTAAATGACCATTCATCATTAATTCTAGCACATGAAAGTCTACTGCTGATAGACCTGTTATAGACTGCCTTACAGGGGTAATATTTGCCATATATGTATTTGTTGCGCTTGGCAGACTGGTGTGCAACCGTATAGGCTTTATTTGTATTGCGTTGGAAGATGCTGTTTTAGTTTTCTTCTGTCACCCTCTAACGACAACCATAGGATGAGATAAAGTAATGGATTATCTTACGCCGGCAAAACTAGGCGATTTAAATGATACCGAAATGAAATTTAATAATACAGCTTTTTCAGATGGCAGTTGGTCAACAGTCTTCTACCTCGGTGGCAAGTTTTTTATAACTCTCGCGTATAACTCGCTATATGTGTTTGCGGCGGAGGTGTTCCCTACAGACTACAGAACCTCGCTGTTGGCCGTCTGTTCCACTATAGGAAAGATTGGATCGACTTTGGCTCCACAAACTCCATTATTGGTATTTATATTTATTATTTATATATTCGACACACCTATTATCTCTGAATAGGTAGGCAGAGTCCAAATAGCTACCAGCCACGCGGACCACGTGTAGCCAAAAAAATATTGGTACAATTGGAAAACTTTGAAAGAAGTGATAGGTAGCTAGTCTATCGCCTGTACAACCAAAAACCCAGAATCTCATTAGTCACCTTCTACGACACTCTAGGCAAGTAATACTGTCAGCTCATTCTTTTTTTATTATAAGTCTCACACAAACGTGGGACATATAAGTTCCAGAACAAGGAGGGAAATTGAAACAGGATGGGCAACAACATCTTCCTGATTACAACTAGAAATAATAAAAAAAACTACGGCTGTCAACCCACTTGCCAAGCGTGACAACTATGGAAAAATTCTTCCTACGAATGTATGGGAAAGGCTGTTTTTATAATGGATGGAAGCAATCTAGAGGGAGGCCTATTTTCAGTAGTGAACTTTGATAGGCTATAATGATGATGATAATGATGGTTATATATTTAGAGATTATTTCTTTTCCATCTTCATAAAAACATACTTTTTTATTGTTTTATACAAACGTTATATATATATATATATATATATATATATATATATATATTTTAAAAACGTTACCCCACACTAGGATTTTCTCCTGTATCGTGGAGGCAGTTTACATACACAAATTGCACAAGGACAAGCATCCAGACCCGGAACAATTATTTGTAGACCATACTAATACTTGTTCCGTGCGGGATTCGAACCCGCGCCCCCCAGCGCAGCAACTCATTGCTAAGCCACTGCGCCACGGAGCCGTCATGATAATCTATTATATTATATTAAAATTAGTTAAGATAATCTATTATATACATATATATATATATATATATATATATATATATATATATATATATATATATATATATATATAATAGATTATCTTAACTAATTTTAATGCACACACACACATTCGTAAGGGTCGATCAGTAGACGAAAACATTGTTGCCCATAAACCACATTTAATTTGGGATAATTTAAATAAATAAATAAAAAGGTACTCCCTCAATGTTAGCTGCGCAGCAATCAAACATTGACGCACTTTTCTAACGACCCGTCAAAAACTTGTTTATATATGTACATATCTATAAAACCCTTATCCAGAACTCTTCTGAAGACATTCAAAGACTAGAGAGCAAAAACCCCTATTTATGGAATAATCTGTGCACAGAGAGCACTTTAATCACAACATCACATCAATAAACTTTCTAACTGATGGCTACCACTGGACGTAGGTTATTCAAAAATTAGGTCTTTATTTAATCAAAAAATAATCCAATTTTAGCCGTAAATAGGCCTTGTAAAACCTAATTATGGCAACCATAGCCTGGTTATACATTTTATAAAAGTTTCCTTAATTTAAAAGCTTACTTAAGTCTTAATGTTACAAGTAAATCCTTAAAAATGTAATAAAAACGGCAAAATTAACTTTTAAAAAGCAACACAATATTAACTTTTTTCTACGAAACCTCTCATCGGTCTTATTTTGTAACTTGTTCATATTTTATTATATTACTACTTATTATGATCTTAATATTTATGAAAATATTTTTACAGGCAAGATTTTACCTATATCTACCAACAGTACTTTTCGGTAGCATGGCTGCTATATCCGGTTTCTTAGTGCTAACGTTACCTGAAACGAACAATCAAAAACTGCCGGACTCTTTGAAGGAAGCTCAAGAGCAAGACAAGAGGAGGGAAGGGAAAGGTTATTCAGAAGAAAAATGTACGAGGACAAATACTAAGTTATAAGGAAAATACTTTAGTTTTCAGATAGTACTCAATTGTGATAAAAATAAATTATAAGCCGGGACAAAAGCGAATGCGCAGGAACTTTGTCAGCGTAAACGAGATTAGACGTCATTAAATATAATCAGACAACTTACGCAAAAGTAAAATGTATTTTATTGACGTTTCAATTATGACAAACCGGTTTTAAAATATTTGTGTAAATATATTAATAGCAACATTTTCATTAACGGAGGACGCGGTCGGTGACTGACATTTCAGATAAACCGTCTGCCGTCGATGTGTTTTAACCAACATCCCTTGAGTCAAAGGAATGTTTTATTTCAATAAGCTAATATATAATTTTCCATTGCAGTTGCATTTATGGCTCTAGCTCGAATAAGTATGTATGATCGAGATAGCATTTTTATATATTACCGGCAAAAATAGCAGCGTAGTGCTGCTTTATTAACTTCCTTCTGCGTATCATTGAAAGGAAGTTAATGGTTTTAGCTGGCAGTCTGTTAGTCTGTATGCCTACACGATAACTTCCGTTCCACTGGACCGATTGACTTTAAATTTGGTATGTGGATACCTTGAGGTAGTAGCTCGGGTCGGAATTTGGGTTCTGTAGGTCAAAGGGCACCAGAGATATGGGATTCACGCAGAAGGAAGTTGTTTTTCTTGAATTTACATTCAACTCGTTTTGTTTTGTGTATGACACGACTATTTACACTAGGAACACACCGGCTTCATTTAGCTCGTCTTCAATTTTATTCTTTATAGTTTATTACAGCTATCATAGTCCACTGCTAAACATAGCTCTTACTCGTATAAAGGGGATATTTTAAGACCTTAATCGAAATGAGATTTAAAAGTCTATTGGACATATTGCTATATACTTCACACCAGGTAAATTTTGTACTCACTTTTCAACCATGCTTGAATTAATAATGACGTAATGAATACAGAATTAATTTAAGCTTCTTTTCCGACCTTACGCTCACAATGTCATGAATATAAGCGTGACAAGGTTCCTGCATATTAACACATAATTATCAATCGGGCTGTGAGCAGTTGTGATTTGTCTGGTACAAAGAAAAATAATAAGTATTAAATGATTTTTAAATGATATAATTACGTCAACGTATAAAGGTACACGTCGCAACCCATCAGTGGACTAATCAGCCGATTTATTGGTCAGCTAGCCATTTTTATACATTCCGTCATTTATTTAATGTCAAATTAAAACAGCCAAATCGCTTAACTTAAGCCAATAGTTTAAGGATTTATAGAAAGTTTGCGAGTCATCATGAGCTTAACTAAATTTTCAGTTAAAAATTTTGTTTAAACTTTATTTGCACTGTGAAATATTCGTCAACGAAATCCCATGGTTTCTGTTGTTAAAATTATCACAAATAAAAGCTAGAATCGGTAAATATGAATAAGCAGTTGACGTCATCTTATGAAATAATTAAGCTTAGATTTATGAACTCTTTTGATTCTTAATTTGAAATTGATTGAATAATTGTTGGTCAGCCAAAACTTAAATGTTACGTTCTCGTATTTCGACTAACCTATTTAGTCGAATGTTAGCATTTAACTACTTAACCGGCTATCTAATTAACCGGCTGATTAAACCATCGTCCTGCAACATATGTACGATCATTATTTTAATTTCATTTCTAAAACTGCTAGAAAACTTTTTATTGTATTGTTTTAATTAATAATTATTATTATTAAATTAAATGTTTCGTAACTAAATGTCTTTAATTTTTTGATAGTTACATTTTCCTAAAACACATGAGTGCTTAATTTTTTACAAGCCTTAATTTTTTTATCCTGCTACCATTTAATTTATTTTAAATATCTTATAATACTGTTAAGGCATGCATATGTCACAGATAAAAGCCAAAATGCAGACACTTCCAGGTTTAGTCAACTACAACCAGGTGCAGCTGATTGCGGATGGTTAAACTTAGGTGTATATAATAAATAATATTCATAGCTGAGTCTCGGTATAGTGGCTTACTTTAAGTTGAATATAGGTCTTGTATAGTCCAAATAATAAATAAAATAAGTATGACTTCCATTAATATATCATCACAGACAGTAGGTTAGTACAATATATTCGGATTTGGCATTATTCGAATAAATATCCTTGCCAATACATCTCGTATGTGCCATAAGGGGCGACAGGTGGAAACTGAAACAGGGGGTGAGTAACAGCATCTCCTTGATAAAAGCTCAATATAATAAAAACGGTGGGGTTTTTTTTATAGGATAAGGGTGACAAACGAGCACACAGTCCACCTGATGGTAAGTGGTTGCTGCGGCCCATAGACATCTACATCTATCCTCGTTTGCGAATCAAAATGCAGATGCGTTGTCACCCGTGAGGACTAAGATGGCATGCCTTATTTCCAGTAAAAAGGGCCTCCGGCCACCTGCACTCACCAAGCGAAACGCAGAGGTAAACCTCTACTTCGCGCTGGTTTTCTGTGAGGTCGTGGTACCACCCCGGTTCGAGCCAGCCCATCCGTGCGACAGCAAAAGCTGCCGCGTGGCTCTACCACTGTTAGGTAACAAACTACATGCCAAACGTGGCAAATATGGCATATATTTGACCTATGAGGCAATGGGGGCAACTTCTGACGCATTGGGGCAGGCTTATGTTCGGCAGTGGGTCTTTGATAGCCCGTAAAAAAATTAATGAGATAATTACTGTCATCAGTGGGATGCCGGATCCCCACCCACCAATTAACAGGATACACCGCGTGCAAGTTAACATTTTTATATTGTAAAGGTGACAAACGGTCACATAGTCCACCTGATGATAAGTGGATGCTGTGACCCAAAGACATCTAAATTTATCCTCGATTATGAATAAAAATGCAGATGCATTGTCACCACTGAGCACTAAGATGAAATGCCTCGTTTCCAGTAAAAAGGGTCCTGGTTTTCTTCACTCACCACATGAAACACAGCAGCATTAAGATGCTACTTTACGCTAGTATTCTGTGAGTGTGGTTCTACCCCGGTTGAGCCGACCCATTCGTGCTACAACCGTAATATATGTAGCTGCAGCATAGCTCTAGCACGTTGTAATTTACAATTTGCATAAAATTAGCATATTTCTTTACATATTACTTTCTTCACTACGTGCGTTCTTTATTCGAAAACATATACATAATGATGGACATCGTTATCGCCATCATGTATTTTACTGCTGCCATTTTGGTTTTAAGAAAACAAAAGCAAGCCCTTAATTATCGCACGTTTTTTTTTTAATTTTTGTTGATGTCACATGTTACAGTTTATAAGCTTAAAGAAATTAAAATTTTAACGCATCGTTATTTCTTTTTTATAGCGCAAAGGAAGAGGTAGGACATTGCTGGTATATGATACTGCGAAGTGGTTTCCCCTCCCTTCACATTTTAACACTTGTTATATACATATTTGCTAGTCTTTTAACATTTTTGATAAATTTATATATAATCAATTTACAAATTGGTTTCTTATTTATTTATTTAGACTTACCAACTAAGTACATATGAAAACATTTCGGCTACATTTTGTTTTAACATTTTATATATGTACTTAAATTATAGGCGAGTACAACACTTTAACATTAACGCAATTACTTTATTTAAAACAATACTAAAAATTCATGTGTGAGATTTAAGTTTGGTTAGAAGAAAAGACATATTTTTTAAGTAAAATATAGAATAAAGTTACATTAACTATGGCTATTTAATTTTATTGTCATTTAGGATGAATGTTTGTATCGAGTTACTCGATGTGCTTTTCAACATTGTACATGTAAAACAAAACTTAAGTTAAATTTTTAGCTTAAGTTAATTAAATGTCTTGTAGAACGAGGTATTGCGCATCTTGCTAATGGATACATGAGCGCAATGATTTAACTCAATCTACAAAGCTACAGAATTTAAAGATTGATAAATTACACTCAGAAGGGGGCACCACAGCACTGCTATTAGATACGCACGGTGCACGGTTAAGACAAATCGATAGAGACGAGATTAAAATCCATCCAGCCGTTAGAATGCTTCTTGAGTATAAAGTATTACATATACATAACAATTTAAGCGTGAAAAGCAAAACCTTGTCATTACTGACATGCATTAGGGTAAAAAAGGCCACGGAATATTATACCATATGACTATCCTAGAAATGTCATTTTACGTTATTATTTAAAATAGAAATATATCAAAATAGCGCTGAACATTTAAATATAAAAGTAAATTCATTATTTTAGCCAGCCAGTTTTAAAATAATAGCGAAAAAGCATTACAAAAAATAACACGTTTCAAATTTATTTTTTAAACTGGATTAGAGCAAAAAATCGCTGGTAACGGTCGCGTTCAGTAGTAATTATTCGCAATGCGACGTGATCCCATTTCGCCTTACGTGACCAAGCGGATATTATGATATTTAAAATGATAACTGAAACTACAAAAATTATTTTTCTCATATTCCATAAGTTAGTTTAATTTTTAGCACTAAATGTTTAAGGGGTGTACTCAACTACTTCTTCAAATTCACCAAAGTCCACTTCTGATCATAGACCTGTCTACAACCTGAGGAATATTTGCCATAGTTGCCAAACTTGGCAGGTGGTTTGACAACCGTGGCTATTTTTATTTTCTTGTCGTAACCAGTAAGAGATCGCTCCCGAACCCACCTCCTGGTTTTTCCCCTCTGACCGTGTAGTGCCGTGTGGTGTAAGAATATCCTCCTTCCAAAAATGAAAGAAAAATTAAAATAGCTTTGAGGACAAAGTAAGCACTGAACATAATTTTCTGTCTAAAGTGGTCAGAAATATTTGCAAGAGGTTTCGACGTTTAGAAAACTGTAAACGTGCGCAAAATGATGCATGCGGCTTCGAAAAGGTAATATCAATACTAGATATACTTTTAGTATCACCTAAGATACAGGTTTATTCTAGTTCAGGTACCTGTTATTGTAGACTATTTTAGATTAAGGCTTTGTTTTAATTAATT